GTAACACCTGTAATCTTCTGGCGCTCACAATATGACCTTGTGCAGTTGCGAGCGCCGTAAAACCTCTCCTAAAACTAAAACTATAACAAACTGCAGATACAGCCTTTCAATCTCATTGGACGATTTCTAAACCAGAAAGAGCCGGGAGCATCAGAATCTGTCGGCACGGTTGAACAGGTCACAATAACAACGAGTTGTTACTTAAGATCAAATTATACCAGGTGCACAGATCGGAGGATAGCTGATCTCTGTGTATAACCAGCTGTTCCATTTTGTACCCACGTCTTTAATTTAAAAAACAGAAATCAGTCAGGTATATTTGCCACACCCTCTGGGACCACCACATGTCCCATTCCGATTGGTCGAAACGGGTTTGGTTTATTTCCTCCAAAGGAACAAATAAAAAGGGATGGGGAAAAACGAAGTTGGTCTCACACATTTTAAAATCGGTTTTGATTTTGCGAATTCAGGTGTTATAGCGATCTGGGGACATTTTTTTTTATTTCCATGGATAAAGCGGTAAGTACATACATTTTATGATTAGAAGCACAGCTTGGTGTGTACTTTGCCCTGGGAACATACGGTTGGCCCAGATATACAAGACTGGATAGTCTAGTGTTTGATTTTCTTTTCTTTTTTTTTCTTTTTTTTTTGGTAAGTGTTTTACGGCGCTCGCAACTGCATTATAAGGTCATATGAGCGCGCGGGACACATTAAACTTTGTCAGTTGGTAGGCAATTTTGAATCTTGTTCGAGTGGCAGCCGAAACATACTCTTATTGATTTTATTTTACGTGCGCAACTTGCACACGGGTCCTCTGAAATTTTTGAACTGTGGTCTCCTGCAGCCACAACGAAGCGCCTAACCGCAGCACCACAGACGCCCGTCACCATGACAACCAAAATACGATTTTAACGTGTGGGAGGTGGGGTTGAGGGGGGGGGGGTTACGGTAAACTCTTCTATGCGACCGTGAATGCTAGTCAGTTACCAAGGTTAATGAAAACGAGCAGGAGGCAACGAAATTGTGATTTCCTTTGATGGTTGTAGGGAATTTCATGGAAGAAAACAAATTACGTAAGGTCTTGCTGAAAAAGCCCGCGCAGAACTTTCACTGGTGGATACGGCAGGAAAAAACCAACTAGAGTTAACAGAAATAATGTGGTTTTGTCGGATGTATTTCTCAAAGACCCTCGATAGGCTGCTCGCTAATCCAAACAATTAGTGGCAAATGCAGTTTCTGGGGAACACCGGTCAACATAAAGGTCTTGAACAGCTCGCTCTTGCTGGGAAAATAGAGGTTAAAACAGGCAAGGGGGTAGACTTAGAGTAACTAACTGAGAAAATTTGAACTTGGGAAAGACTGGAACAGAATTGTTTCCTTTTTAGAGGGTCCAATGGCGCTCATATAACCTTATGCAGTTACGAGCGCCGTAAAACCTCTACTAAAACAAAAGAGCGTCCAAGCTGGGGTATGCGTGGCGACCAATGATTGCCGATGTCAGCCTCAGATCTGGCAGTTCATGACAGTGAAGTCATATGTTATTTGGTCGCTTTAAAGGATCAGAAGGCTAACCCAGATTTGGGGGATATCTTGACATATACCAAAAGTCTATAGGAGAAGTCTGGTTTTATTGGTGTGTATATTTGTTTGGTTATAGAGAAAACTCTCTTTGTCTTTTAAAGAAAGTAAAGACGGGGTAAAACTTTAACTGCAGTGTGTCCGGGGGCTTCTGCTCAAAAACGACCATTTCGTGTTGAAGTTTAAAACTCTAGACGTGCGGGAAAAAAAACCTATTATTAATATTTTTCATGAGGAGCATGAACCACGCAATAAAGATTTATCAAACCTGTCTGTTTTTAGCCCCTTTGGCGTGTTTGTCAATGAAGAATTCTGTAAAAATGATTCATCTTCAGGACGCAGAAAGAGGAGCGCTCAATAAATTACGATGCAACAAGATTTAAAAACCGGGATTTTGATTAAATGTCAATTAGATTATGAGCAGAGCACAAGTTGTGGAGGGTAACAAAAAAATGAACACGTGAATCTGTTACAGTCCTATCGACACAAATTACGCAATAGTGGAGGTTTCTGACTGCTTGAAACACAACTGTCATACGTTATTTGGTCGCTTTTAAGGACAAGTAGGCTAACCCAGATTCCTGGGATTTCCAAAAATCTTGACCTACACCAAGAGCGGACATTGTCCTACCTATAGGAGAAGTTTGGTTTTATTGGTGTGTATATTTGTTTGGTTATAGAGTAAACTCTACTTGTCTTTTAAAGATACTGAAAAAGGGGCAAAAACTTTACTTTCGAGTTTCTCAAAACAGCATTTTTCGGGATAGCCCCCTTGTGCTTAAAAGCGACCAATTGTCTGACCACTAATTATAAACAACCTGGGGCTCTCGTGGTCTAGAGGTGTTAAGATGTTCTAATTTCATTCAATAGGTCGTAGGTTCGAATCTGGATTCCGACGGAAATTTTCTTCTCTCAAATGTTCTCCTTTCACATCCTTTCATGCTATACAACGATATTCGGTCGTCTGCTTTCGTCTCCACCTTCTGCTCCTACCCCCTCAGCCGCCTCTTTTCCCTGTCTCCTTTCTTAACCCTTTATTTTAATATCCAAAGACAGTTATTATCAATAAAAGCATGGCGTAAAAATAGGCGTATTTTATGTGATTGTTTTCATGGACGTTGATTTTTGTAATTTATTCTATTCTTTATAATGTAAAAGGTTTTTTTGTACTTTTGGTTTTTAGTGTTTTGGTTTTTTTTTAATAAACATCGTTGTTTCTCTCCTTCGTATACAAGCCTACGTGTGTCTGTGGAGGGACTCTCACGCGATGACGTGTTTATCGAGAATGTGTGTGTGTGTGTGTGTGTGTGTGTGTGTGTGTGTGTGTGTGTGTGTGTGTGTGTGTGTGTGTGTGTGTCTGTGTGTCTGTGGAGGGACTCTCACGCGATGACGTGTTTATCGAGAATGTGTGTGTGTGTGTTTGTATGTGTGTGTGTGTGTGTGTGTGTGTGTGTGAGTGTATGTGTGCGTGAGTGTGTGTGTGTGTGTGTGCGTGTGTGTGTGTTTGTATGTGTGTGTGTGTTTGTATGTGTGTGTGTGTGTGTGTGTGTGTGTGTGTGTGTGTGTGTGTGTGTGTGTGCCGTCTGTCTACCTCTCACACACGGTTGGCAATCCACCTTGCTCATTGATTTAAACCATTGCTTGTCAACCTTGTTATAGCCAGCTCCCACTTTTCTCCACCTCTAATTTCCTATCTCCCACTTACATGTATTGGAGATTCCTAGAGAGGCGCTAAATATACCTGTCAAAGAGAGTCGTTAAATATACCTGTCAAAGAGAATCGTTAAATATACCTGCCAGCGCCCCTTGTGTTGATCACCATGACTACCTACATGATTACTAAATCGCCATCTAGTGGTCGTCACCGCCCACTTTGGCACGCACAAGTCTAAATTATCATCTTGGTGGGGGTCTAAATCATCTTTCATTACATTTTTCTGAAATTACAAAATACGTCACTCTTGAAAAACAATTTCAAAATCCCTTCCCTCACGTCACTCGTACAATTGTCGACTGAAACATCGCAATTCAGGACATTTTTTTTTCTCACATCTTTGACATGGGTATGAACAATTTTAAAGGATGCGATTTTGGATGAAAGATCATTAATTCTACCCCCCTCAAAGGGATCGTGAGAACAAAAGTCAAATATTTAATGTTCTTTTTATTGTGAAAAATCATGTTGTTGTTGTCACAACTTTATTTTTCTTTTTTTTTTTTTTACTGAACTAACTTGTTTCTGTCATTAATTACAACTTCATCTTTTTCTTCAGAAAAAATCAATTTGTTGTCATTATGACACCGTATTTTATAATGAAATATCAATATTATCAACAGGAAGGTATGGAGTGCCATCATAGTCGTCAATGTCTGCCACAGATCTAACACCTAAACAAGAATTATGATTTATATTTTTTTCTGGGAAAAAAATCTCTTGGTTATCATTACAGCTTATTTTTATTTGTTGTAAAATCATCATCATCATCCAGTGCCAGATCTGCGACAGACATCGGCGATCATGGTTCTCCATTCATTCCTTTGCTCGGATGCTCTAAAAAAAAAGCTACGTTTCCCTGATCTTTCCCTGTCACCCATTTGTTTAGGTTCCCTAAGTAGGTTGTTCTGGGCCTTCCCCTGCCTCGCTTGCCCTCAGTTTTTCCAGTGAGAGCTAGATGTTCAAGACCCGTATGTCTATTTATGTGTCCCAAAAACTGCATTTGTCGTTTCCTGATTGTTTTTAACATGGGCTTCATCAAGCACTACCTCGTTTGATTTCTTTTCCTTCCACGATACTCTCAGCAGTCTCTCTAAGGAACCACATTTCTGTTGCTTCTATGTTCTAAAATATGATTATAAAAATCATTACAACTTAGTCTAGTTTTTAAATATTTTATTATTCTTTCACAAAGCGTAACAGCCTTTTTTTCTTGATCAGGTCCAGTGAAAGAGTCCAGGACAAGAGCCGACCAACATACAACAGCAGCTAATCAACAACAACAACAACGACTTTAAAACGAATACAACGACACCTACACCATAAACACCAACAGCAACAGCAAGGAGGACAACAACGGCTACAATAGTAGATAAACAACGACAACGATAACGAGGATAACAAAAGATACAACGGCAACAACAACGACCACCGAATAAGGACGTTGACGAGAACAACAACAACAACAACAACAACAACAACAACAACAACAACAACGACAACAACAACAGCAGCAACAGCAACAACAGCAACAGCAACAACAGCAACAGCAACATATCAGGAACGACGATAACAACAACAATAACACTGCCTCACCCGTTACACAAGAGAGGTGGTGGCCCTGGCGAAGAGCACGCTCTTCGGGGCTCCAAACATTTCGAACGGATAGGCTACCACACACACAACAACAACAACAACAACAACAAGGACGACGACAACAACAACAACAACAACAACAACAACAACAACAACAACAACAACAAACGAGCGTTTGGGAAAACAAGTGAGGTGCCAGAAACAAAAATCGACTCACAAAAAATTCACACATAATATACATATAAAAGTGTACCCAGGAGCAGACGCCAGCCTCAGAGGACCAATAAAATATACCTCAAGTTCTAATACTCATTCCCTCCAAAGATGAACAACTCGACTATAGGGCTCTGCTCCACTTTGACATTGCCAATGGCCTCCCTCACATCCTCCTCCTCATCTGCCTCTTCATCGTCCTCATCACCATCGTTATCTTCGTCCCCTTCCTCGTCCTTGTCTTCCCATCTGGCTAATCGGAGCGACATGGATATGACCCATGACCTTTGGGACCCCCGTGACTCGGACGCCTATCGCTGGATCCTTGCCATGCAGACTATAGCAGAGCCTATCATCATTATGTTGGGTAAGTGGGGATTGTGTGTTGTCGAACTCTCCCGTCTTCTCTCTCTCTCTCTCTCTCTCTCTCTCTCTCTCTCTCTCTCTCTCTCTCTTTAAAATCCCACGAATAACCTAACCAGTCAAGTCTTATCATAAGTAAGGCAAAAATAAATGTTATACTTATTATATTATGGTACGGAATTTCAAAGTCTACATTTCCGTTTTCCCTACTTTCTTAAAATGTGATAACGAACTTTTTTGTTCGCAAAATTATATAAAAATCCCAGAAATAACCAAGCTAAGTCTTATCATAATTAAGGTCAGAGAAATGCTGTACTCATTATAAGATATATCGACTTTCAAACATTCAATTCTCATTTTCTCCACTTTGTTAGAATAATGTGATATCGAACTTTTTCCCCCCGCAAAACTATATAAAAATCCCACGAATAACCCAGCTAAGTTCTACTATGAGTAAGGTCAAAGAAATGCTGTACTCACTATATAACGTGCACTTTCAAACCCTGACTTTCCGTTTTTTCCACTTTCCTAAATTGTGACTTAGGTGGTTTTTCCAGTGGAGTCTTCGACAGTATGTCAAATCTCTCCACCTAGCATTACAAAGTTCAATCTACTCCTCAGTACCTAGTTTGGAGAAATTTTGACGTTAAAAAAAATTAAGTTTTACAACTTGTCAAGTTTTTTCGAACAGAGTTCTTTGTTATATCTTGAAAACAACTTCGAATAGTCTTAGGATTTTGTTAGAGTAGATTGGGCATTTATTGGTTTCTGACCTCCCGTTCTTTGTAAGTCAAAGCGGACAGAAATATCAGATCATCATCATCCAGTGCCAGATCTGCGACAGACATCGGCGATCATGGTTCTCCATTCATTCCTTTGCTCGGATGCTCTCAAAAAAGCTACGTTTCCCTGATCTTTCCCTGTTACCCATTTGTTTAGGTTCCCTTAGTATGTTGTTCTGGGCCTACCCCTGTCTCGTTTGCCTTCATTTTTGCCAGTGAGAGCTAGATACAACTTTGCAATTCTCAAGTAGTGAAAAGTCAGATTGATGAGTCAGGGGCCAAATGGTTTTACGTAAAGGTCATCGGTAGGAGGTTGTTGATGGAGGAATTACTGCAAAAAACAACGTGTTCCTACAGATATGTGAGGCATCGAGGTGAAATCAGGCGCTGGTCAAAATAATGAAATCTAAGAAACTGTCACTTTTCCTCCAGTTTGGCAATTTTATCGAATTTTTTTGTTTTGGTTTTTTTGTTGTTGTTGTTTTCTTTTTGGGGGGGGGGGTTGTTGTTGTTGTTGTTGTTGTGGATTTTTTTGCTCAACACCTTTTATGTCCATTTAAAAAGATATTTCTTTGTGTAAATCACTTAAAACGTTGATTAAAGGAACAAAAATTGTAAATGTTCAGTTTCCAAGAACTCTCAAGATATGGAAGTGACCTAACTTTGGCGGCCATTTTCTCGCTAATTTTACCCCTGAAACCAGACGACCCCACCTCCTGCAAGTGCAAATATCTCAACTTTTATTCAAGTTAGATGGGTATTTTTTCACTGAATGCAAGACAAATCTACAAGCTTTAAGATGTTACCATATATACTCCATATGCCCAAAAATTGACGAGTGCCTGACTCCACTGCGTCGCTTCACAATTATAACTGCCTCAACAAAGCGAGCAATAAAAAAAAGAGCACAAAAAAACAATAAAAAGCGGATGTGGTTTCAAATCTCTTACACCTAAAAAGTAATTGGAAGATAATTTCTTATTTTATAAGACCTCAAAATGTGCTAAAGTCTACACCTGAGCTATAATATTCCGTATTAAGTGACTTGGACGCATTATTTCTATTTCATAATGTACTGTTCACACCATGTTTTGTTTTTTTATATTTAGTAAGAGTTCTACGGCACTTGCAACACAATAAGATGATATAAGTGGCGAAGATTAGAGGTGTTACAAGAGAGTAACAAACATAAAAAAGAAGGAGGAGAGATAGAGACGATAGATGTTTGCATAGGAAAAAAGGAGCAAACCACATCAGAGCACCCACCAAGCACCCACACGCCATGGTTTTAAGGCGCCGATATCTCAGTTGGCATCATGCTGGACTACCGAGCAACAATGGCCGTGGTTCGAATCCCTTCCGGGATTTTCTGAATTTGAGGGTGGGGGGGGGGGGTTATTAAAGCTTTCTATCCTATCAGAGATGGGCGTTAAATTCAGAGGTTCTGCCCAACAACCTTACAGGCTTGAAAGAGGGGTTAAAACCTCAACAATGACCAAATGAGGACTTCATTTTTTCAATGAAAATTCCCTGAAGGAAGAAATAAAAGTTATAACTTTTTCCTTTTTTTTCGTTTTTAGAGTTTTATTTTGCTAGTTTTTCTTGGGTGTTTTTTTTTTTGGTCGTATTTAGAAACCATTGGCGTTTTGAAGAGACATCGATAAAGGAAACTTTGAAAAACGTAACAACTACTACGACTCGGGCTATCGACAAAACACAAAATGGCGTTGAATTCAGGAAGTGAGGACTAGGCTTTTGTTGGTTTGGGGAGGGTTTTATTCTCTTTTTAAGAAAATGTCAGGATGCTGGAGAAATCACATTTGAAAGTGATTTCCTGCGCTGTCGAAGAAATCAATAGCTGCTATTACATTCCATTGTGTTGCAAAAGGCTTGTTTCCTATGTGACTTCTCGGATAGAGCCGTTCTGAGAAGAAATGGGCGGTCTTTCTGATTCTGTTCCTGCTCTCTTTCAAAGACAGGCCTTTTTTCCACCTGCCTGCTAGTGTGTCTGTCGGTCTGTACATATTGTTTCTTTGTTTGTTTGTTTTCTCTTTCTCTCAAGCTCACTACCTCCTCATCTCTGTCTCTCTATCTCTATCTCTGTCTCTGTCTCTGTCTCTCTCTCTCTGTCTCTCTCTCTCTCTCTGTCTCTCTCTCTCCCTCTCTCTCTCTCTCTTTCTCTCTCTCTCTTTCTGTCTCTCTGTCTCTGTATGTCGGTCGGTTTGCCGGTCTCTCTATCTGTATGTCTGTTCGTCTGTCTGTCTGTTTGTCTCTCTCTCTCTCTCTCTCTCTCTCTCTCTCTCTCTCTCTCTCTCTCTCTCTCTCTCTCTCTCTCTCTTTATTTTTTTATTTTTTTTTTTATTAAAAAAAATATATATATATATACACATATATATAATAAGTATTATATGAACCCTTTTGCATGACCTGTTGGTTTGTTATTTGGAAGTTAACCCTCAAAATCGCCTCTATTCTAACGACACCAGGCCAAAGAGATTTCTGAAAATCAGTGGAGAAGTATATAACTACGTTTCATTCAGCCAAAAAGTAGAAATAAAAACACAGCAAAACAAACCAAACCAAAAATAGCCAAGACGAGAGCAAAAACAAAAGCCAAAAAGAAATTTAAAAACCCACACAAAAACCTGCACTTTTTCCCTCGTTTTGTACTCAACAAGGATACCAGATCTAGATCGATTTATATTATATAATAATTAAGTGGCCTTGATGATGTTTTTCTGACACCCAGAGAGACTAAGCATGCAGGATCGTCCTACTCGTGATCGCTCCGCCCACACAGATGAAAGGTTTACTTAACAGACACAGACATACAAATAGCTTCTGTGATTAATTAGTGTGACTAAGAACAGAAAGAATCCATTATTTTATTTTTTTGCATTTCTGATCCTGGTGGGGTTTGAAATTCCATTTCCATTCAAAACTCCCGAGTGAGGACACAATATTATGACCAGCTGATATCAGTATGGTATAAATTAATGACTTCGTGAATGCGTTATGGTGGTAGACCATGATTTATTTATCCTCCGTGTGAAATTACCAATTGCCACCAATCCCTTGAACACAAATCGTGATTTTAACTTGACAATTCACTCGAAGGGTAAATCACGATCTACCCACACATGTCAAGCAAAATGATCATAAAAACGTCATTCGTTTATTTTTACTTTTGTTTTATAATCAACACTTCTGTTATATAAGTCTTAGTGTATTTTGGTTTTTGGTTTTTTATTAGTAGAGGGTTTTACGGCGCTCGCAACCAGTGGCGGTGGGTAGTGAAGGGCTCATGGGCTTGAGCCTCTACCCCCTCCCCAACCACCACCCCCAACTCTATCCCAAAGTAAATGAAAGTTTCTCCATAATGAAATAAGCAGT